TCAAACCTTCATTAGCAGCGGATCGCCAGTAGTACGGAAGCCCTCGATCACCATGTGTACCATTGGTGGCCAAGCATTCTCTTTATCCCACTGCTGTTCACTTCCCATTGCCAGTGATGTCGGCAAGCCTTTGGTGAAGTTGAGCACACCTTCTCTCTGTAAGCCCCCAAAAAACTTGAATTCAGCAGCCAACTAAGTGATCATGGTCAAACAGGCTATCAGCTTATGCATTTCGTGGATACAAAGAACATGTGTAATCTGTTCGAGGATAAAACGTAGCATTGAAAATCGTGGAAAAGCACGGGTTACCTTCAGATATTCATAAGCGCGATGTGGCGTCACTTCATCTTCGTCATCATAACATTTTGCATAGAGCGGTAAAGCATTTGATATATAATAAGTGTTTGAGTGAAGCTGAAGTTCTCACGTACATTTCAACAATCAGTTGAAGAGAACACATGAAGAAACTGATGTACAATAATCAGAAGGGATGAGGCAAAAGAGAGAGAAATTTTTTTTCAGTGAAATAGTAGCAGGTGCGAAAATTGACCGAAAAATAGGCAGGCAATGAAATAGACTCCAGCTATTTTAAATGCATCGGTCCCTGGGTTCTAAAAACTCGATCTGTTTTTGATCCAAAACCTGTCCCATCATATTTACGCTGAAAATCGAGAGAATTTTATTGCTTCTATAAAGAGTTTCAGAAACATTTAATTTGCACAGCTTTCAAAACTTATTTAGCCCTCCCACCCCCTCCCTCCCTCCTCAAAAACGACAAACCTTTTTCTCTAGGTCATAATCATACCAAATACCATCAGTCTCATTCCAGTGGATAACTTTCATTGCCAATTTCGCCATTTCATATCGTGACTGATAAAGTAGCACCTTTGATAGGTTACCTGCAAAAACAGCCACTATATACAATACTTGCAGAATCAACCAGGATGACAAATCAGCCATCAGACTGCTCAAAAGAGAAAATCATCGAAAGTTTTGGCAGGAAGTAGTTCCTGTTGGCATTTGCCATCAATCACGATACTTCCTAAGTGCCTCCGCATTTCGCAGACAGCGAATACGGAGGGAGTTCTAACTTTTTGACATATAATTTACTAGAACTACAGCACTACTGCTGTCGTCAAGATTACCGTGGATTAGCAACATGGAGCCATTGAGGTTTCTCAGATGCAGCAATATAACAAGCGCAGCTGTATCAGTCTCTCTTGCTCTAAAGCGTTTGTCTATAGTTCACATACGCTATTTCCACTACACACGCATTTAATTTATAAGCATTGTTAGCGATGGACAATAATGACAAGTCGCCCAAATTTTCCGAATTTGAACCATATGTAAAAAGTGTTCTCAGCACAAACAAAATTTAAACAATTTGCGCATAAAATGCAACTGAAAAACTATGAAATGATGCGTGAAAACTAATAGATTATGTATAAAAATACATTCTTTTGTTAGTAATGCAAGATATAATTTCAAATTTGTGAGCAACACACCTAAAACTACGAGCAAACATGACTTTTCTGTTGGAACTTAATCATCTAATGCATCAGCAAGAACCAAAATAAGCTCGAAGACGTACCGCTGATCTCATAAAATGATGCCATTATTCTGGCATTTATGCAGATAAAGGCATTCAGATCAACAGGAACGATGGACCACGTGCGAATGGATTTCATGTGATGCATCGTTGGGCCACTCTGTGCGAACCAGCGAGTGCTGAAATCCCAGCCTGTTTCAGCTGCCGATGCAACATTTGACCACATCAATTCTTTCTCCGCTGAAAAATGAAAATAAATGAACAAAGTGTGAATTCGTGAGAAGTAAACAGTCAAAAACCTTAATTATCAAAACAATAGCTGGCCAACACACGGGCTGCTCGTACGAAGATGCATTTTTTGCATAGTTCCCCGCAGTTTTTGTTGCTACCGGCATCGGTTTTTTCGGCAAATGCTTCTAAGCTAAGCAAATTAAGAATGGCCACCAGAACTGCCAGGAAATACTCCCTTAAAATTTCAGCTTTCTAGCTTTTCAGGTTCGCGAATTAGTGACTTACTCGCAAAAAACTTTCACGGGCCATACGTGAGTACCACACGGGTAAGACAATTCATTTTGGGAATGGGGGCCCGTACATGCATGCAGATTAAGTTCCCAAAGTTTCAGTCCTGCAGCTTTTGTAGGTCTTGAGATGAAAAATCGGTACAGAGGCCCAGCGCACAGACAGACAGACAGACAGACACACACACACAGACAACCTCTCGTCAGTATGCGTTTCCACATTGCATAGTTGCAAAAAACGCATAAAAAAGCAAAGGACGAAGGAAATCAAAGAATATATGACAGAGGAAAAGCACAAAAAAGTAGAAAATGAGAAATCACGTGTCAATACGAATGAAACCCGTGTTTTAGGATAAAGATGTAGCCCACTAAATCAAATCAACGGATAAGGCCCATATCAGTTGGCCTGAAGAAATGGCAGTCATAACGGCCCAGAAAGACTGGTGAGAAAAAACGCCTCTTCTCTTGGTTCTGAAGTGCTTTGTGCTTTGAAAATGCCAAAGTGCCTTATGGGAACCAAAAAAGAAATATTTCTAATCAACATTTCGAAAGAATGCAGCAGCTTCGCAAAACGACTGAAAAGCATGCATTCTGTGCTAAAAAAAAACTAAACAAAAGTAAGCCAAATAATATTTAAATGTAACAGACAATTTTATTTAAACGTTGCAAACAATTCATACCAATCTTCTCAAAATGAATAACTGCCAACACCACGCCTGGCGATACGCTCATGCGTTTTTGCATAGTTCTGTGCAGCAACAAGACCTTTCAGAACTAGAACTTCCACTGCTTCACAGTTTCATATGTGCACTTATATTTTCGTGGCCTTTTCAGCAACAATCGAGGAAGAGAGTCACCGGCTGAGCAGTTAGGTTATACTGTAGAGCACCGCGAAAATTCAACTTTTTAGCATTTTTGATTATCGCGAGAAGACGCCAATAATTTTATAAATGGAAATATATCAGCAAGCAAAGTGTAAGTGTACACTGCTAGCTTTGTAACACTGAAGCTTCTATTCAGCTTGGTCCCGAGCAAAAAGGAGGAAGCCAACTGCTTTCCAACTTGAACTTTCGCTTGCCTGTATACGAGACACTAACATGCCTCAAAGCTGAGTTTCAACTGAAATTCACATAGACAAGGAACATCTTCACAAAATTTCAACTTCCCAACCCTGGCCGGTTCTGAAAATCATTTCCCGCTAAAAATATCTTTGATGCACCCGTATTTGAGTAGAGAACATGAAGGTTCAGTTTGCGTCTGAAGACCCAACACAGAAGTGACAGTCTGCTAAATTTCAGCTTCTTAGTTATCGCAGATCTAACAATCGGAACACAAAAACACATGCAAACACACGTCAAACACACACACAGACCATACACACGCAAACACATAAAATTCCTCCACAGTACGCGTTTTTGCAATTCGTCAATGATGCACAAAAAGGATCAAACACAAAAAAATTATCTCCCCATCTACTTTCAAACAAAATTTGACTACGAGTATTCTTGGTAGTCGCTAACTTTTCTACGCGGACCGGGAACATCTCCTCAAAACTACAGCCTTCTAGCTTTTCAGGTTCCCGAGCAACTTACCCCCAAAAAAATTTCACGGACCCGTACGTGGGAATCACGAATATCTGAGGGCTGGGTTGGAACCCATCAAGATCTATGTGGACCGGGAACATCCTTTTAAAACTACAAGCCTCTACAGGCCTTCTAGCTTTTCAGTTCCTGATTTGGCAACTTACCCGCAAAAATTTTTCGTTGCAGAAAAATATGTAAAATCAGAGAAATGAACTTCGAGTGAACAAACCATCAGAGGGGAGATCTTTGGCCAACTCCAAATCTTCCCTGTACGATTCAGGACGCGGTGTCTTCATGCTCGCACGATACTGAAAGAATAAAATATCTTTGTCGCGTTCATCGTCGTGAAATGTTTGCGCACGTTGTAGCATCCAGAAGTTATATTCCTTCTCAAGCACCGGTAAAGTCTGCAAAAATTTAATGTGTAACATTAAATAATTTGATAAATTCATTTGATAAGTAAACTATATGCTTCAACACCGACATACCAGGTTGAGGCAAGAGAAAGAGCTATTCTGGGCGACAAATGAAACACTAACAGCTTCCTAGCGGTAAAACTTTCTTTTCTCTTCCGGTATCTTCCAATAAGCGCATGCATTATACTGCTGCAAAGTGCGACTAGTTTTTATGCGTTTTGTGCTGTGTAACAGCAGTACAAAACGCATATTGTCACGGGGTTGTGTGTGT